TCACTTTTTTTTTTTTTTTTTTTTGTGGTACGCAGGCCTCTCACTGTTGTGGCCTCTCCCGTTGCGGAGCACAGGCTCTGGACGCACAGGCTCAGCAGCCATGGCTCACGGGCCCAGCCGCTCCGCGGCATGTGGGATCTTCCCAGACTGGGGCACAAACCCGTGTCCCCTGAATCGGCAGGCGGACTCTCAACCACTGCGCCACCAGGGAAGCCCCACATTCACTTTTATATATTAGAAAAGAAGAAAGGCCTCAAATCAATGATCTAAGCTTCTACCTTAGAAGAAACTAGAAAAATAAGAGCAAATTAAACCAAAACAAGTGTCAGGAAGGAAATATAAAGATAAGAGCAGACTCAAATAGCATTGACAACAGAGGAAAAAACAATAGAGAAAAATCAATAAAACCAAAAGTGGGTTCTTTGAAAAAGTCAATTAATGACATAAACTTCCAGCCAAGCTTATCAAGAAAAGAAGTGAGGAGCCGCAAATTACCGATATCAGGAATTAAAGAGGATACATCACTACAGTTCCCACAGATATTACAAAGATAAATAAGGAGCTAGTATTAATAACTTTATAGCAATAAACCACAAATCAGAAAAAACAAATTACTTAGACACAAACTACCAATGCTTACACAAGAAGAAAAAGATAACCTGAACAGCCCCATATCTATTAATAAATTCAATAAAATCAATTTATAGTTAAAGATATTTGAACAAAGAAAACTCAAGACTCAGATGGCTTCATAGGCAAATTCTATCACACATTTATGGAAAAAAATAGCATCAATTTTAGACAAACTTCTGGAAAATAAAAAAGGAGGGAACATTTTGTTTAACATTTGAAAATTTGGTTTTAACATTTGAAAATCAATAAGTGTAATTCACCATATCAGCAAACTGAAGAAGAAAATTCATCTGATCATCTCAGTAGATGGAGAGTAAGCACTTGATAATATTCAGAGCATGTTGGAAAAACTCACAGATAACATCATACTTAATAGTGAATGCCTTCCCCCTGAGGTCTGGAACAGGCTAGAATATCCACCCTTATCACTCTACATTATATTTACTTAATAATTTAATAAGGTAATAATTAATAAGGCCAATTTAGTAAGGAACAAGAAAAATAAATATAAGCTATTTAGATTCAAAGGAATAAATAAAACTGTCCCCATGTACAATCATAAAATGATTGTCTACAGGAAAACTCCAAAGAAACACAGAAAAATCTACTAGAATCAATACATGGCTGCAGGATGCAAGATCAATGTAAAAAATCAATTATACTTGTATATACTAAAAATCAATTTTCAACAAAGATACCATGTCAATCCAATGCAGAAAAGCTAGTCAACATTGTCCATTGCTGGAGCAATTGGACATCCATATGCAAGCAAATGAATGAATGAATAAATCCTTGACCCCTACCTCACACCATATAAAAACATAACTTGAAATGATCATGTACCTAAATGTAAAGCCAAAAAATGTGAAAATTCTAGAAAATGTTTCTGAGGTTCATCAGGCAAAAATTTCTTAGATAGAACACAGCACAAACCAAAAAAGAAAAAAAAAGAATTAGACTTCATCAAAATTAAACACTTCTTTTCCTCAAAAGATAATGTTTAAGGAACACAAAATAAGCCACAGACTGAGGGGAAATATTTGCAAAATACATATTTTTTAAAAAAACCTGACATCTAGAATTTATAGCTCTCACAACTCAATTGACAGCTGCTGAGCACTAGGAACTGAAACTTGGCAGCCTTCCTCGAATGGAGTAGGCACGGAGGAAATTACCTGCTAAAGAATCCTGGCAAGCTGTATGGGAGTCTTGGCCGGTTTGGCACCCTTGCTGCAGAAGACCATCTTCTACTGTGTGGAACCCATTCCAACAGCGACACCATGTGGCAGTGAGAAGCAAATGCAAACCAAAGAGGTTCTAGAAGCTGATTGAATATCTGGGGGACTGTGTCAAGCCCCTAGAATTGACGATGACATCAAAGACTGGAGATTATGGATTTCTGCTAATTATTCAGATGTGTATTCCAATTAAAAAATTAATTGGAAAATAAAAGTTACAATTGTACCTTGAGTCTGCGAAGCATTTCATATTAGATGTTACCATAAGTGGCATAACTATGGTAAGTTGATACTTGAACTATACCTCTACAATTTAAACTTATGAGAACTTGTATTAGTTTTCCATTGCTACCATAACAAATGATCACAAACCGAGTGACTTAAGTTTATCTTACAGTTCCACAGGTCATAAGTCTGACGTGGGTCTCACCAGGATAAAACCAAGCTGTTGGCTTCAGCCCTGTTCCTTTCTAGAGGCTCGAGGGGAGAATCCGTTTCCTCACCCATTTAAGTTGTTGGCAAAATTCAGTTCCTTGCAGTTGTAGAACTGAGAACCCCATTTCCTTGCTGGCTGTCAGCATCCAGATGCCACCCACATTCCTTGGTTTGTAGCTCCCTTCTTCCTTCTTGAAAGCCAGCAGGTTGAGTTCACCTCTCATCGAATCTCCCTGACCTACTCGTCTACCCCTCCTTTCCACTTTCAAGGATTCAACTGATTAGATTCGAGGACCCTCGAAGAAAACCTTGGATAATTTCCCCATCTCAAGGTCTTTAGCTTTGATCCTAACTTCAAAGTCACTTTTGTCATGTAAGGTAATAGATTCCCAGGCCCTGGAGACTCAGCTTTGCAGAGGGTGGCAGGAGGGCCATTATTCTGCCTACTATAAATATGTATTTTTTAAAGTTAAAAAGTCTAATCTTAAAAATGTCTTGACATTTCTACTGGAGAAAAGTCAAAACTTTTTAGGATAGGATTTACCCAATCCTTCCCAATATTTCCTTCAGCCTGGTTCCTTATTCCCCTCCATTCAGCCTATACTAGATTTAACTTGAGGTCAACAAAGGGTTTTTGATAAACCTCCTGAAGTAGCGTGCAAAATTTTACATGTATGCTTATTCTTCTGGAGACAAGGTACAGAGCTTAGATCAGATTCTCAAAGTACTCGTTGAAAGACCCTCCCCCTGAAAAAAGAAAAAGCTACAAAAGTGCTTGACAATAAATATGTTGCTTTCGCATAACGTACATTTTCATGCTTCCACGTTTTTCTGCATCTCGTTCAGTGCGGCTGGGGGCTATCGTGGGAAGACTGTGAATCTCTCAGGCGTCTGACTCAAGCTAAAGCTGGTCAAGTGGTGATGGCATTTATCTAATAACAAATAATGAAGGTAGCAAGTCTGATGGGGAGCCACCAAGACGAAAGCAATTCAGGACAAGTTGGATGAACCTGCAAGACAGCCAAAAACTCGAGGGGAGGTCATCTTAACTCAGGAAATCTAAGGAAGGAAAGTCATACTATCTATAATAAAATTACAAGTTTGGATATGATCAAAGTTGCCATAAGCTACATGGATGGACAGCAAAATCAGGGGAAGTTTTGTCACATATGGCAGATTATCTATCAATAAGAAGTCAACCCCATAGAACAGAAATCCTATTTTCACAGGAAAGTGTGAACTTAAATAAAAAGGTTTTATTCATAACAGGCAAAAATGTCCAAATGGGGATGCATCTAGAAAGTATTATACTAAGTAAAATTTACGAAGCACAAGATCCTATTTACATGGAAGGGGAAGTGAACTGACTGCAAAAGGGAACAGGGTGTGCTCTTCGGGGGACGAAATGTTCTTTATCTTGGTTACGCAACTGAACCTATTTGTCAAAACTTGTACACTTACATTTTATTGAATGTAAATTATACCTCATTAGCATACTTTAATATGTAAGAAGGATACATACTAGGTTATTAACATGGATTGGGAGGGATGATATGGGGGAAGAGAAAGCTAGGTGTAAAGGTAAAAAATAAAACTTTTTAAAAATTATGTACATGATCCAATTTATGCATTTATGAAAAATTATATGTGTGTGCATGAAGAAGCCTGTCAGCTATCTGACGCTGCAATATTGAAATCCAACACTTGCATCCTTGGCATGTTCAAATTTAGGGGTAGATCAGGTGATGGAAGCCAGATGGTGATGGATTACAGCAGAGTAGGAGGTGGAGGAAGTGGAACAGTGAGTCTAGCAAACTAACAAAGTATTGGTTAAATTGTGTAGTTCAGCTTTGGAGCAGTAATAAAGAATGAGAGAAACTATGAGGTGTGCTGTTAGATCCCATAACTGGCCTCAATATTTCCAAAAGATTAAGTCCCAGCACGTCTAAAATGATGTTTCTGAGGGAATCCACATACAGGGAACAGCAGCAATTCTTGGGGCATCAGGTAACATCAGCTTTTCTGGAAGGAGCCAATCTTGGCATGGGCTGACTGTACTTCACAGGTAACCCACACTGAGCAAACGGCCTGGGTCTGCAGACAGCAAGCCTGAGTTCTGTAACTCTGGCTTTTCTAGAAATCAGCCTGTGTCTCTGTTTAGTATCCAAATATTCAGACCAAAATGGAGATAACGTCACCCAGCTAGTTTTATGTTTTAAGAATTAGTAACAACGCATATGCACAGGATGTGGCACAAAACAGGTACTCAATTAGTGATAATTACATTATGAATCCCCTGCCAAGAAAGGACTCAGAAACATACTCAGGAATCCCAAAATAGCTGCTGGATGGATGGATGGATGGATGAACAAAACTATGAACAAGTCAGTCAATTCCAGGGACCTGCCTATTTTTCTAGACTGAGCTTAAGTATCATTTCCTTGGGGAAGCTACCTTCATCCCAAGCTACACACATATTCTCACTTAATATTGTAGGTTTCCTACCAAAGGCAATGAGAGTAGCGCAATTACATATGTATTTTTTCCCGCAAATTAAGAACAAGGCCTTGCATATAGTATACGCACAACAGATGACTGTTGACTAAAGAAATGAACGGAGATGATCAGATGGAAAGTGATTTCTGACCACTGACAGTACTACATCAAAGAGGCAAAAAAAGAGATTTAGGAATATTCCAGTTTATAAATTTTTTATTTAAAAAATAAAATTATAAACAAAGTACAGAAAAATATTGACACCTGTGATAACAAGGAAATGACTCCTAATCTTTAGGGCAGTTGTTATCCTGGAAGAGCAAAATCATGAGTTTTATAAAGAAATTTTGTTGTGCAAAGGAGGAATGTACTTTTAAAGGTTCACTTGTAATAGGTATTTGGCATTGACAAAAAAAGTATTTCTATCCATATATTCAACATTCTGCAGCATATTTACATTCAAGTTACATTTCCAAACTCTATGCCAAATACGGTCTAACTCACCATCAAAAATCCCTAAGATATTACTAAAATTCTGTTTATTTGGTGGGAGTGAAGTATGACTTTATTAGAAAATAATTTTATGTTCCTTCTAGATCAATTATATTTTAACTACTTCAACAAAATTCACTGGCCTTTTCTTCCCAGTTGAAGCCAAGCCTCTTCCAGACAAATTAAACACAAATTGAAACTTGGCTAGAAACGAAGTTATATAGTAATGTTTTTCCTCCTTCCTTATTTAAACTTCCAATGGAAGGACACTGGCTCTGATTAATTACTTTTCTTTTCCAGTAGTTAGGACATATTATGGATACCAGTTGCAGAATTTTAACTTCTTTTTCAAAGATGGCTGAAGCAATTTTCCCTTTCAGTTGTTACCAAATTCCTCATCAAAATAACATACTAAGAAACCCACGTAGTTTTCTGAAAACTTTTCTCCATTTTCCCCATACATTCCTTGAATCAGATGACTTACTCATTAACAATTTGTTCATTTCTTGCTTAGTTTCTCTAAATTACACTAGGAGAGCTATCCTAATTTCCTTATAATCTTACCATTTCATTTTCTAAATTATGATTTTATTAAAATCAACATAAATTATACATAGCTTCCCTCTTTACTACAGTTCTCAGAGAAGTTTATCTGAACTTCCTGGGGGGGAGGTGCGGTCAAGGCTCCACTGGGCCTGTCCGTCTAGGCTGGCCAAACTAAAATGTCAAGATTTGAACATTCTCAGGCCTCCAAGTGATCCCAGACAAATCGAATATACTCATAATGTATCAATTCTTCCTCAATTCTCTCAAGTCCATTTTTTACATCTAGTAAGATAAATGAATGACAAAACAAAAGAGACCCATGAATGTCATTTAGTGAAGCTCATTCTTTCTAACTGACTTCAGGTTGTAACTTCTCCTCCAGTACATGAGGGCTGGCAGGTGGCAGCAGGTTGCTGAGTTGACACCACTTCTAATTCAGATTCACGAACAAAAACCACTGCATCACCACTTACGTTTATAAGACACTGTGCCTATAAGAACAACAGGACATGTTCAGTCACAAACTCAACAACACGCTCATACGCTTCTGGCTACCCTGGGGGCAGTGCCGTAGAGCTGAAGAAGCGTACAACCCAAGAGAAAAATGAGCAAAGGATAAGAAGGCAATTCACAGGAAACAAACAAACTCATTAATACAGTTATTTAATTTTTAAAGGGATTTTTAACAATTGTAAGTGAGTTATTAAAAAACTGATAAAAGAAATTTATTCTAAGATTTAACCTAAGCAACATTCCCTTGTCCCCATTAACAGAATTATATTACTTATTAGAAATAAACAGTGTGGCCCCATCATGATGTACTCTTCACCAGCAGGGCGATTAGAACTGGACAGCATCACATTCCAAACCAGAGGGCGTCTTTTAACTGTCCTCCGTTAGCCATCACTGGATCCCAACGACCCACCAAGAAGGTGGAGGAAACAGTAATTTAGGAGCAAAACTTCCAGAGGTATTTAAGAATAATAACTAGTCACTGGGGATATGAAAACAGCATCTGACCTATGCAGGACCATGGTTACCAACATATTCATTAAAACATGTTTTAAGCCTCTAGAGTCAAAGAGCTTTGAAGAGCAATTCTCTTTTTCGGGGGAAGGTGGGAGGTGAAAAGGCCATGGGATACATTCACAGGTTCCCGCCATCAGAGGTTTTTAACCCCATCTCACCTGGTTTTTATTTGGATTCTCCATGAAGACACACTGTTTCATTATGTAGGAGACAACAGCATTCCCTCCCAGTGCAGCCACGTGAGCTCTCACCATCGCAAACACTTCAGCAATAAAAGCATGGAGAAAACCACTGACACCTCCTTCCTAAATGATGACGCGCAAAAAACCAAACTGGATACATGTGTAAACTAATGTACATAAAACATCAAAGAATACATATTAAAACATCTTAAGTGATCTTAATATAACGGACGATCATTTTAATTCCCTCCATAATGGGGATTTGTTGCATGAATGAACAAACAAACCTTTACTGAGCACATGTCTACGACAGGGATTACTATCTTCATTTTACAGATGATGAAACTGAAGCTCAGAGAATCTGTGATGTGCCCATGACGAGCCAGGACCACAGAGCTAGTGGACAGATGGCAGAGCAAGAGTTCTAACTGTCCCTCCATCTTCAGCACCTCCCTCTATCAAGTCGTTCCCATCATCATTCAAATAAATTGATGGTAAATAAAAACAATGAGACTTCTCTGCTATCCATATCTCCTATTCTGAAAATGAACCAGGTTCCAGTCGCACTTGTCTTTTTCAGTTTCTCAAAGGTGTGACATCTTTTCCTGCCTCGGGGTCATTGCACATGAAGGTTCCACACCCAATTTTCCACCAGGGTAACTTTTACTCAATTCTTCAGGTCCTGGTTTACATGTGACTTCCTCAGAGAAACCTTCCTTATCAGATCTAAATTAAGTTCTCCCATTATATTCTCTGACAGGCCCTGTTTTATTTCTTTACATGACTTACTATTACTAGGAGTTACCTGTTAATCACATGATTATTTATTTACTGTCCACCATGCCCGAGTTCCACTAGACTAAATCCCATCAGGTCGGGAACTGACTCTGCTGTGCTCACAACTACATACGCTAACACCTACTTCAACAGATGCACGTACTAAGTGGTCCGTACATATTAGTTAGGGAATTAAATCCAATAGTTTGGGGAACTTTTTCAGTGTTCAAAAACAAACAAAACAGAAACCAAAGGCTAAATGAGAGCTTAAAATGCTTCTCAACCTAAGTTTTCCACAAATTTTACTGGATGTTATTTATAGTCTAGGAAGAAATTTCCAACTTCAAACTGGAGGTTAAGGACAAAATTCAATACACTGTTAGAAGAACCATTCGTCCAGGTCACATCTTTCTGAAAAGTCACAGGATGCTACATAAAGTTTTGTACAGGTATCTCTCTTTGTAATTAAGGAATTAAGTTGAGTTGTGTCAGCCTGCCTCTGACTCAATCATCACCCGGGACAGCTTTTTCTTTTACTTTTATCAGTTTCCCTCCTCCATCTCAAATCAAGAAATTCTGATAGCAGAGTAACAGAGACTACAGAGGCGTAATTTTTAAAAGATTATATAATTGTAAGCAAATAATTCACCAAGCAATGAATAAATTTGGGATATTATACCATACAGTTAATATTACAAATCTCTGTTGAAAGGAAATCTACTGTGAAGTAACATTTTGGGGTATGGTTGCTTAAGCAGTAGAGAAGGCACTTAGGAAATAAAATTTTATGGATTCAATAGTACAATATCCATGTGCTAGTAAGAGCAACCGGAAAAGGTCAATTCACCAATCTATGCCAGCTTCTCACACCCAAATTTCTTTGTCAAACTTAATAAAAGTGTCTCCTATTTTAATTCTACACTAAAAGGTTTTTGAGAGCATCTTAAGATAGTTTCTTTCCCATCTCAACACAATTAGAATATGATTTTAAAAGTAATTTATCTTAAAGGAAACATCTATCTAATTAGTTAATCTGTCAGAAGTCACTCCCTCACTTACACAAAAACAACTTATGTTTACTCTGCACCAGGCACTGTGCTAGGTGCAGGAGGGTGAGCATGATATCAAAAATTAATAAGCAAGCTGTTATTTCCAAGAAAGTATAGAAACACTGCTAATGAAGCAATGGGGAAAAAGCATAGTTAAGTCATGTTTATAATGAACACACTTTTTAAAAATACAAACTACCGCTGAAGTAAATTTTGAAGAGTTTATTGGGTTTCACACCTAAATAATTAAAAAATTTCCCCATTCACAGTAATTTGCTTAGCAGTCCTGCTCCAAAACATAAGACAAATAGAAATATAATCTTTTCTTGAGTTTAAATTCCTCTGTAATGCAAAATATAATAGGCTGACTCTGATTCTTAACTTTGACTACATCAAGTAGAAGATTAGAACTGCTGTTACTTAAAAAAAAAATTAAAGTTTAATGATACCCAGCCAGTGTGAGGTAAGAACTTGAACATTTTTACACACTGACGGCGAGAGGGGAAAAAAACAAGCGGCCTCAGTTTTTTTCAGAGGAAGAAAACGATAGAGCTAAATGACATAAACAATCCCCAAGACATCTCTCCATGATACAGTCCCTTACTATTTCTAAATGTAAACCCTTAAAAATTGCTATTTAAATATATCTCAGGCAAATACCTACTGAGAAGACTAAGCTGTTCTTTCAGGGCTGTTTTAAACCTCTAATCAAACGCGGATACATTTATTTGTTTTAGTTACCACATGATAAGGACCTGGAGTTTCTAATAACAAATGGGATTAAACACAACACAACTCTTATGATAATACTAGCTGCTAGAGACAATCCAGACAGGTTATGAAAAAAAGTGTGTGTATGTGTGTGTGTGTGTTACTTCTGGCAAATAAACAACCAATTTGAAACTTGTTTGGTTTTGATACTAATATCTTCAACCACAGAAAACGCACAAAAACAATTAAATAACAACTATAAAATTACCTCACGAAGAGAAGTGGTTTCCCGAATAAAAAACATGTTAATTATCCCAAGATATTTCGTTATTTTTGCTCCAGGAATGAAGGAAAGAGGTGTCATCTTAACCACGCCAACTGTAGAATTTGCACAAGGTGGAGAAGAACGATTCCGGAAATTTCCTTCACCCACTGGACTTGCTTTTTCGACTGTCACAGCTAAAATTGGAGAAAGAAGAGAAAGCATCAAGATCATATGCTGGTGACTCAATTATTCCCTAAGGTTTCCAAATAAGTGGTGACAACATTCAGCTGTCTGTGAGGCTAAGCCATGTCATGAAAGAAAAGAAATTATCATGCACTGCATGCAATTAAAAATAGAGAGAGAAAGGAAAACATAAGAGGAAATGCTGGAATGGAATCTTTTGGAAGAAAAATGGCATTCCTGCAAAAGAAAATGTTGATGAGGTGGAGCTACACACACAATGATCGTTATAAAGTGAAGAAAAAGCGGTAGAGCATTAAAAATTATCTGCTGTAGGAACAAATTATTACAAGGAGAGTGTGAAAGTTGTTACATTTCCCAGTGCAGCTTTTTCCATCTTTTTTTCAGACGACTTCATCATTGTCAACTTGTAGATAAACCATATCTTAACTAGTTGTAGTAGGTTTCTTTTCCAAACCTTCTCGATCAAACTCATAATAATTTAAAAAATTCAACAAATGACCTTGGCTGTCTAAAAGTTGTTTGTTCATGAAATAACAAATAATAGCTACCACTTATCCAATAACTACTATAAACCAGACATATATACATATATATACACACACACACATATATGTATATATATAATCCTTACAACAACCCAGCAACGTAGGTGTTATCTCCATTTTACACGTGAGGAAACTGAGGCTCACAAAACTTAAATAACTTGCCCAAGGTCACACAGCTATTAAAATGGCACTACTAGGATTCAAAACCATATCTGGCTGGTTCCATATCTTGTGATCTTCTCCCTAAAACACAGTTCCTTCCCTTTAATGTAAAATCTTTCACTCAAATACCTCAAAGTCTACCAAAACACATGGAGTATAGATAAAGAACATGTAAGTACTGATCCTGAGTCTAGCAGTGAGATAAGAGTTGACCACTTTCTCTCTGGAAATACCTCATTCTTTTATCACTCTGGATATCGCTCTTAGTAAACTGACAAATACCGTACACTACCTAGTACCTTGGGTCCTGGAAGAGTGTCTCTTCAATAAGAGAGCTCATCATTTCCTTACACTAGATGATATAATATCTATATACTTTCAAGAATACCTTCACAAAAATAAAATACTAAAAACACAACCCTACAGTTAAAGTTAAAAAAATCTAAAGGCCCTTCAATAGCTTTTGCTAAATGACCTTTAGAGTCTGCAGCTTTCACACTCCAATACATGATTGATTGGCAATGTTATTACTGAGTAGTCAGGTCTAGCCTTCACCACTGGGAAATCAAGGATATGCTTCTCAGATTGTAACATGGTAGAAACATCCGCCTACTTGTCTTAATTGATCCACGCCTTATGGTCTGAGCTTTCAGTTTAATGAGCTCTATCCAGCTGCTGCATCTGTCTGCAAAGGAACTGTAATCAACTGACGTTGCTGAAAACACAGACAGAAAACAAAAGAAAAAACAAAGAAAAAATATGGATGACGTCTCTTACTCGTCATAACACTCCTTCCGATGACGTAATTTAACCGTAACTTAGGGGAAAAAGTGGTCCTTTTCAAGTCAGGTAAGAGAGATAGTAAAGAGTCAAGCTTTAAGACACTGATTTGTCCAAAACCAAGTTCTTGGCTGGCTGAGCATCTTTGGTGATGTCACAGCTGTGTGGTCTCTTAGGGGGAATGGAAGCGGGTCTAACAGAGAGATCAGGGAAAGGACCATACGCTGTGTTTTAACTAACTTCATTTCCCATTCTTTTTACTTCACACTGTTTTAGCTGTTTATATTCAGGGCTTTAATTTACAATCAGAACTTTGTGAATAATTCCTTGCCCTAATTTTACCCTGAAATCAAAAATAAAAATAATGAGAATCAAACGGTGAAGAATACATGAAAAAAAATCACTAGTTAACTTATCTTTTATTAAAATACCTTCTTTCTACCAATAGTAACAAGAAAGCCAAAGGGTCATTTTTGTCAATATTCTATTTCCATGTCTGATTTTGGCGACAAAGCTTCTGATAACATGGGGTGAGGGGCAAGTGTGAGCCTAACAAGTTCTCATTTTAAAAAGAATAACTTTTACTAATGCTGAGCTAAAAAACAATGTTAAAAAGCTAAAGCTTTAGTTTTAGAAAGTGGGACACTATTAAAATGCTAAAAATGTAAATATTTGTTTAATTACTATTTTGTAAGACACATTCTAACTACAATAAAGCCACATTTTGGTGTCTATTCCATCGTCCAGTGCATTTCTCTGATGTCTGTACGCTCATGAATCACCACACTAGAATTTCACACCTTTGGAGACTATTTGCTTGATTAGACAAACTCACCTCTCTGTGCAGCTGGTATACCTGAGTTAGAACTTGCACTCTCCAGGTGTTCTAATAAGACAATATGAACAACATTAGCTTGGGTGCTAAGTATAAGCAAGTATCTCTTCTTTGCTCTTGGTTAATACTCTCTAAAAGCCAGACGAATAGGAGGGAATCTTTATGGCTTCATTATAAAAGTAAACCAAATAGAAGTATTTAGGTTTAAAACACAGTTTCTATTGATATATGAAAACTAGCTTCATTAATAAATACCATGCCAAGAAAGATTACTTGTTAGTATAACACAAAAAAGGTTTCAGAAACTCTACACACAAAATATCAACACAGTAACAAATGTTAGTGGGATGGAAGCGGGATGTGAGAAAACTGAACAGAGAAAAGGGTCAACCTACTGGGAAGAAAATCTGAAATGAAAAACAGAAGGGAAATGTTTGTGGCGGAAGAGCCAGTAAGATTAAAAATTACAGACAAGGCAATGACCTATTTCTCACAGATAAACACAAACCTCAGCCCGACCTGCCCCCTCACCACCAACCCCTTCATTCAAGGCCTTTGCTTTCAGCAGCTCCTTCTGGAGCTATCAAGACTTTGTGGAACTAAAAGGTGACCGCTCTCCACGGAAATAACTAGGAATTCCAAACTAGAATCCCCTTTACAGTAGGCTCATGAAAGCAGCATCCTGCATTCTCCCTGATAGTTTGTATTTTTACTATAGATATTTAAGTCATTGTACAAATTTAAACAGTACTATAAAAGAAAGAAAACTTCATAATCCATTTCTAATGTTCAGGCTCTATCCACAATGGCATTATTTGAATTTTTGTTTCAAAGAATTTCAGACCTGAGAATATAGTGTGGCCAAGATAGAAATAACACATAAAGACACTAAGAATAATTTGGGTCAGCCAGTCTTTTTTTAAATTATAAACTAAGTAAATATATGTATTTTTGTCTCTGCTTAATGTGTTGACCTTCTGGTAATATTCTTAAATTAGCAAAAGTTATACTTTTCAAAAACTGGATTTATAGAATGTTTCTGTTGATTGGGTGCAATGGAAGTATCTCCCGCACCCACCCCACCCCCCAGTTTTTAAGGCAATGACCACAAGCTATACTGGAGAGTGTACAGTGGCTGACAATCCTCTTACAATACAGAACTGTCCGATAAAAGGGATCACTAGGTGAGGTCCATACAATGGCTATGAGGAGCGCACGCTGGACGCGCCCTGACCATCATGCCCTCAGACTGTAGTTCTAGAGGGAGTATCCTCCTGATTCAGCATCCTGAGGGGCAATGGAAGCCCAGGAAGCGATGGGACCTACAGGAGGAAGACCAGAACAGAACTGACATTCAGAGGCTTACCAGATCTCTAGGGACAGCTCAGCCTGGAAACAGACCCAGTGCAGAAGCTGGGACAGTAAATAGCCCACCCCAGGCTCATACATCCCAGGAGGGTCCCAGAGCTCTCGTATGTCCTGTGCAGTATATATAGCCTCGGTAAGTATAGACACAGAAAATATAGTCGGCATTAGGTATTCTGTTAAAGTTTTTAAAATGTGCGGATGGGAAGGAAACTAAAAGAAAAAGTGAAAATTACTAAAATTGTCTTCTATACCTTGATATTATCTTGGTAATACGGAATTCTCTAGTAGCAACTGTATATAATTTAATGGCAAATACCCATGAAAAGAGCTTAAACATGTAGACGGTATCTGTTCCCATCTCTAAATATGCCAGGTGGAAAAAAACAAAGGTATACAATGATCTGTAGAATATTTGTGTTTTAAAAAAAGGATAGAGTATCCTTGTAAAGACAGACAATAACCTGTTAAAGAGTATCTTCCTCTTGTGAAGGAAAACGAAGGGAGAAGGAAGCTTTATTTTGGACAATGTGATTTTTTTTGTAGTATTTGAATTTTTCACCATGTACACTTAGTACACTTACTACTTTTCCAAAAAAAATTTTACGAAAGGTAGGGAAGAGGAGAAACAAGTGAGGGAAAATATTTATTCCCTGCCCTCAAATATGAATGTGTTTGAATTAAAATTTTAGAAGAACAAAACTTTTAAATTAGAGACATGGCTGAGCGACAAGATTTTTGACCTCACTGACGGAGAGCAGGTTCATCTCCTAACATGCTTGCCAGGATGCTCATGTTTTCTCTCAGAGAAAAGGCCCAAGAGGAGCTGGTCCTGGCAGCAGCTGGACGTCAGCACCTCGGACTGGTCTGAACACCTCAAATATCTAATGACCTCAGACTCTCGGTCACTCTGCTCCTTCCAATTACAGTTTGGCTTCCCAGGTAATAACAGGCTTTTCACAAGAGAAGGAACTGCAGATATTAGCTGTCTGGCTCACTGACAAAGCAGTAATTCTGCTTAAGAATAAATAAATACGTATGCAATCTCTAAGCCAATACTTAAAAAGACAACATATTTCATACTCAGGGGTAAATATCTTATTAAAAGTCCTTCGGGCTTTGTTGAGGAGCTGGCACCCAGTTCTGGCTATTTGCACATCTCTGGGGAAGAGTTTGACACAAATACTTCGTATGAGAGGCCCCACTGTAGCTGCAAAGACAGTCTACATCAAGCCACCCAGCAGCCCACTTCTCTTAGCATTTCCTTTCCCATTGAATACAATTTTGCTTTTTTAAGAAGTCACCAGTTACTGATAATCCCGCTATCCCTCAGAAAACAACCCTAGAAAGTTACTGAGGCAAACAGAACATGCAGATTGACTATTTTCTTACTACACTTGAGCAATTTTTAACAGGCCTTAGCGGAGTGGGGAGGGGGATTAACCTAGATTAAAGCAGTTTAGTGGAAATGAGCATATAGATGAAAAACAGAAAAAAAAATGTGGCAAGAATTCCTCCTCCCTCAATTATACACCTGCCAGTGCTTCCGAAGTTTGAGATGCTTCCATTATCCTAAATAACCAATGACAAAGGTATGGGTTAGCTATGATAGAGTTTTACACTGACTACTCTTCTAACAACTTACTTTCTACCATTAAAATTTACAGATCACCTTTGCTTTGAATAACTAAAAAGTATTTGAGATAATCTTTTCCAGTCACCCTAAGAAAATTACAAAATTTGAAAAACCTCCTGCAAATTCTGAAAAGGTTCTCTGGCAGATTAAAATATATGCAATCTGGAGTCTCTAAACTGTATGTTTTATTTTCCTGTTTAACCATTCTTAGTTTTAAATTATTATGATCAAAATTTGGTTTTATGTCCCTTTAAGCACTTCCATCAATCTATAATGCATTGATCAGCTATGTCTTATAACTATAAAATCTGGCTTAATGACTGAGTTAAACAAATGATGTACATAAACATTCAGTATAAATCTGGTCCATAATGGTCTTTAAATACTGGTGGATTGGGCTTCCCTGGTGGCGCCGTAGTTGAGAGTCCGCCTGCCGATGCAGGGGACACGGGTTCGTGCCACGGTCCGGGAGGATCCCACATGCCGCGGCGGAGCGGCTAGGCCCGTGAGCCATGGCCGCTGAGCCTGCGCGTCCGGAGCCTGTGCTCCGCAATGGGATAGGCCACAACAGTGAGAGGCCTGTGTACCGCAAAAATACTGGTGGATTGATAATGAAATTGCCATATTATAGTTAAAAATTACTAAGGCATACAGAAAGACACAAATTGCTTTGATCTGGATATTTCACTAGTAAAAAAAAAAAAATTCAACTACGTAGCTACACAGGTAATACATACAGTAGATGACAAAAGACATTAGCTGCCCTATTTGAGTCATTAAAGCTTCCAACCCCGGGTGTGCAACATTCTAACTCACTTGCTTTTCTTCTTCAATCCCCATCATTCACTCTTCCTCTCACTCCCATCCTTTGTATCCTTTTTTCCAAATAATCCTTGTTTTGGGTCAATAACCCAATTCAATTTTCTTTGCTTTTCACTCCCTCTTCCTCTGACTCTGGATTTCACTGCCCTCAAGCTCTTGGAAAAGCTAAGATTCCTTATCTCTACTTCTCCATCAACTCTTTCTCTCCTTCCCACTTCTTGGATGAGGTTTTCACATTTTCCACTCTTTAGTTTCTGTTTTCCTCTCATTCTCCTTCCCCTCAGCATTTTTCTCCTTTCAGGAGCCCTCACTCACTGCTGTGGCCACGGATAACATGAAGAACTTTAGCATTTTTCATAGTTGCTACCATTTGGTCACAATGATAAAATATATCTTAAAAAAATAAGAGAGAAAACAGACATGGAATGAACTCTTAATACATAAAAACATTTTTAGTTAGCATAAAGAATTATATATACTTGTAAGAATTCAGAACCATTAGTTGGCAGGAAGAAGGAAAAGCTAACTTTTGTAGGTCTTATAGATTTATATTTCTAATTACAAGTTAAAATAATGTGAGGCAAGTCATTTAAGTTTAAAAAATTAAACTATCTTTTAAAATCAAATTTGGTTTAACAAAAAGTAATTCTGATAGCCGACCATAAAAATAAAGAAAAAAGCTTCAAATGTGGATACCTAATTATGGAGTATAATATATTGAGGGTGTAAGCAAACTTGTTTTCTTTTTTACTGAAATCCAGAATTTGACCTATATTTGTCTTATTCATCAGCAACTGCTCAGTGAAAAAAGAACTTCTCCCAGGCTATAGCTAATGCCACTGAACATGAGGATACCACCCCAGCATAAAGCAAAATGGACACAGAAACACGGGTGATATAAAAAACTTTTCCTCTATACAGTTTTATCCAATAGTATATAAACACTAAAACTGACTTAATTAAACCCTTTTATAGCCTTAAACTCTCCGAATTTTAATGAAAGCAATTATCCTATTATAGATTAGGTTTATAAAGTATTTGAGATCTATTTATAGTGGTATATAATTCAAACACTTTTGTCTAATATAAGTTCTTAAGTCCCTCAATATGGTTTCAAATATCTCAAGATTCAGGTCTTTAGACATGTATCTAAAGTAACATGCCAACCTTTTATAAAAATTACATGCATAAAATTTTTAAGATTAATTACAGTTCATGAGAAATATCTTGATTTTTAAAAAATTTTCACCCAGATTACATTCACTCAGATTCCCTATTTTTACTATATTTGCTCCATCTTTTTTCATTTTCATTTCATAAAAATATATATCATTTTTAAAGCCTCTTAAAAAACCATTCCAGAGTGAAGTGACAGATATTCAGAAAGCTGACATGTAGATATTAATGAGGAGGAAAAAACATTATGAAAGTGGTATAAAAAATTTGCTATAGTCATCTTTTTTCTTAACACAGTTTCATTAAAAAAAGGAATTTATAGTGATGCCACATCATCTCTGTTCCTCATAGTATTCATCAAAGAATTTTGATGACCTTCACATGATAATGTCCTTTAAGAAATTACTTAGGCTCAGCATGTTTTAATATTTCAAATCGGAAAAATCATGGTAACTATCAAGGTAACACCAAATCAACCACAAATTTGAGACATACATCAAACTATTCTGTTACCTTGAGAAACAAAATATGTAACAAATATAACAAAAGATGGAAGGAAAAAAAATTAAGCATGGATGGACAATTCAGGCCCAAGCTTACTCTACACTGTCAATTAGGAAACATGTTATTGAAGCATCTTTTCTTCACATAATACTCACTCATTTTCAATAACACAAAAAGATAAGGAAAGGTTTATCTACAAGTGAAAAGATGGAAGTGTTAATAAACAGACTGTGCATAGCTCTTGAGACTACTCTGTCAACATAAAAGGAAATAAAAAATTTTAATAAATTATCCCATTTGTGATAAGAACATGAAAAATAAATTAGTATTCAAAGTTTTCAGAATTAAAAAAGATAAATCTCGATCAGCTTAGCTAACTAACCTAACAAAACTATAAAAACTATATATTTATTTACTTATCAGTATTAGTAGTTAACTTTTAAACCTCTTGTGGTTGCAGATAAGAAAGTAGAGAAGTTCTCTGAGCATTTATTCCTCACCCTCACCTTTCTCTCTCCCACCTATTTCCTCTAAACTGCTAAGCTTAACTTTTCCCAGATATTTCTATTCTCTATTCAAAGCCTTCCTTCATGTTACAATGTTCAATTACTACTTTCATGATATAACACTCTATTATTACACTTTTCAGACCTTTTCAAAACCCATCCTATCCTCAAATTTTCCAAAACACTTCGAGATAACTTTTTCTAATATATACATCATAGCCCATGTTCTCCTGGCAAGACATGAGGACGCAAAGACAATACATAAGGATGCAACGTAAACCACAATTTACATGACTTTAAAAAAAGTAAACAGATAAACTTTTTAGTGTTCATTGATGATTTTAAAATGTAACATTCAAGGAAAGGCACAAAGGTTTTATAGTTAAGCACTTAGTATTAAAGTTTTATATATATTAGCATTAGATGTGATGATATTGATCATTATGAAGCTGACAATGGTGGCGATGATGATGACGATAAGGGTGGTATGATCTGATTCAGTGATTTTCAAACTTTTTGAAACGCTTTCTTCCAAGAAAATCATATATAGAAAGCTGATACATAAAGCGTAGTGCATTGAAGCTGCTCTAGTTCAGAAGTAGGGGGTCTAGAGACCTATCTTCTCACCCCACCGGCACCTTGCCTCCTGGAAGGCCATGAGGCACCTCTGAAGAAACTCTATGGTCTGGAGGAACAGAGTTTAAAAATCATTGGTTTAACTGATTTGAAGTTATTTGGAAAATTAATTAACAGAAGCTCAGTGTGACCTCAGGCATAATTTAGCTTTTACGTTTTTAATAATAGGGACATGTTAATAATTGAAGAACCATAAACTATAGAAACTCAAGAAATCAGAGAAATTTAAAGGCTAGAGAGAATCTTAATCCTTTCACATTTTACAAATGAGGAACTAAAAGTGGCTTAATTAGAGGTTACCTGGCCCAAGTTCTCACACTTTATCAGTAGCAGAACTGAGAAGAAAAGCCAGGTCTCTTGGTTTACTACTCTACCTATGGTCCCTCTCCATGCTCCTTAAAATAAATTGCAAATATTTTAGGGACTGTTCAGATATGACTTATTCTACTCAAATTCTTCTTTCCTTGTTTTTAAGTTCAGAGTATCATTTGTACAAAATATACTAATGACTTCAAAAAGCACTAGTTCTCATTACCTTTGAAAATATTTTGAAAGCTATTGCAGAAACTGTAAGTTATCAATATAGATATGGCCAATATACAGAGCTTAAATCTAATCTTCTGCAGAATTCAGTAGCTATTAACAACATGGTAAAGTTGGGCTAACAGGGACCCGAAATCCACAAATAAATATTTGTATAGGTTAGCAATTGATCAAACCATTTCGTCGTTGCTGACTGGGTTTTTGGTTTTGGTTTCCCCCTCGCCACCACTGCTGGGTAAGGATAAATGAAGTGATACCTAAAAGTGGTTTGGAACTAACCCTGTGTTAAATATAAGTTTCTGTAGAAAATATGTGTTTAAAAAAAATCCTATCTAGTCAGTTCAAGGAAGATTCTAGATTGTTCTGCTTTTTGTTCTGAAAGCTATGTTTAAGTTATAAATCTGAACTCAGATTGTCTTTGGATTTGATTTTTCCTCTCTATTCTTTCAAGAAATTCTCTATGGAGTTCTAAATTAGAATTTTAATTTAGACAAAAAGGAAAAAGAACCACAGTTACCATGTTAGAAAGTTCAGAATCTGAAAGTAGCTTCTTTTCAGCTTCAAAATATGAGACAAGATCTATTTATCTACACAGGCCTTGCACTGATTTAGTAAAGACTCTATTGACATATAGGCAATGTGAATATAAAACTATGTTGTATTATAACTAATACAGTATCAGATAAAGTAACTGATAAGTAGAAACCATAAAATAATGTCACTTGTATTATAAAACAGAAAAATTAGAAATGCCAATTTGGTTTTAAATAACAAAAGCATCATTTCTAAGAATAAAAAACTTAGGAAAAAACACAAACTACATTTATTGTGTATGTAATGCTACAAGATAAGGTACAGTAATTCTGAAATTTTTATAATAAAAATTACACTGAAATCAGAAGAGAAATGGAAAAAACCACCTCCCACTTTTCTCCAAAGATTGTACAGATCTAAGTAGATCTACTGCTAGTGAATTAAGGGACAATCATTTTGCATTTGAAAAAATGTTCCTCAAATATAACCAAGACACCCAAAAGACAGAAAGCTCATCCCTTTCTCACTTGTACTAACCTCCACCCAAAACCTCTCCACATAGCTTCTGAAGAAAATAAGTATTCTGTTTGTCTATGAAAATCTAAAAATTTTTGCAGAAGGTTAGTGTTGCTAGAAAAAAATTTACCAGATATAATATAAATATCAAAATATACCATATGTGAATAGTTACTTTGGGAAATCCAAATCTCTGAAAATAAAACTTTAATACATTTGAGTTACAAGAATGGAATATCACACAAAAAATTACCTTAATAAGTCATGATGAGATTACTTGAGAAATTAAAATAAAAGGAACATTACTCTCTCCCCTTTATGAACATGAAGAAACATACAATGAGGAAATGAAGAATAAATCTCCATCTCAAAATTAAGATTACCTACAGTGAAGAAGCAAGAGAAAGGATCTAGAAACTGGTATTTGTGCTTGCATTTCCCTTACTTAACCAACCTTTAGCCGGTGGAAAAGGATGAGAAGGAAGTGAATCTGAACAGAGTTCGAGGGGAAACTGCAGAAGTTCTTCATTATCTGTAGAGGCTTGAGAGGCAGGAAAAACACAAGTTAATTAGTAATGATCTCTTATTAATTTTTTAAAAATTACTCTGGGATAACATATAATTTCCCCCCCAACTCAGTTAATTCTGGTTGGTTTGTCCTTGCTTTCTTCCATGGGGGTCCTTCACCTGTGGACACTGAGAGTGGTTGCTATCTTCTCTGGTGGGGCTGTTGTGAGATTTAGAAAGGGTAATGTATATAAATCTCTTAGCACAGTGCCTGGCAAAGAATAAGCACTCACTAATGATGATTATTATCCTACTTTTTGTACTATACTAGTTCTATGACACTTAAACCAGTTATTATCTATATTTTTTGATAAATATCTGAACGCATAATCATTTAATACATCTGACATTAATTCAATGCTATAGATGTAGGATATATTCAACTTAAAAATTTTTAGATTAATCATGAATATTTTTTAGCCAGTAAGTCATTAAACTTTAGAAAGTATACTATTTCCCTCTTCTCTTTTTTCAGAACACACAAATGGTTTCTAAGATTTTGCATTTCTTTGGAATATATTAAGCATGGTACTTCCTAAATTTTACTGGATAAAGAACAACTCTGAGAATCTGCTGAACACTATGGGACCTTTCCTGAGAAAAATCCATGGTGCTTGCTACATCAGTTGGTTCTCAGATGCCTTGAGGACCTCCCCAGAGCTCCTAGGATAGGAGCCTCTAAATTACTGCAGAACTAATGTTATAAGCTAACTCTAAAAAACAGCAGCATTTTCTATGTAAATAGCAGCCAACCACCTATTCATGTGTGAAAAATATCATCAGCCATATGCTTATCCACACAGTTATCTTGATAAAGAAAACAGAAAAAGTGACAGTATCTTGTCAAGAAACACGTCATTTATTCTACCTATCCTCTATATTTTATCACTGAATTATAACACAGACAAACATGAACTATGCTCCCATCTACCATAGGTTTACCTCTTTGCAATGACTTCTCAGCATGTGTTTTTGTGGTCTGTAAAGCCTGATTTTTGTCAAAAGTTATTGCAACTGCTGTGACTGTAACCTAGAATCACAGAAACAATATGATTAGCAAAACAATCATTCCCCCAAAAAGCTTCTTATAATTCTTTTTCAGTACCATGGAACAACTTATACAAACTGGCTAATTTGCCTTTCCTGGTTAAGATTCTCAACCAGAACTGCACATAAACTCAGACATTCAGACTACAACTAAGCCCAACATGTATACCTAAACATAGGTATTCCAGAAAGAGCTCAAAAACCTTCTCTAAAAGATGGGGTCTAGAGAAGTCGCACAGAAGCACACCTAGTGTACATACGCTGGAACATACATATGAGTACACCTTCAGATAACTAGAGTTCACAAAAGTGAAACAGACAGACAAGGTCTGCCTCATACTAGTACGTTTAAAAATATTTTGAAGTAAAGCAGCTTATACGTCTTTAATTATGGCAAATGTGTAATATTAAAACAGACTAAAGTTAGAAATCTTCTTTAATAACAGACTGAACCTTAGTTACCTGAATTAATTCATCTTCAGGGAGAGATACTGTAAAATTTACATGGCAAAGGCAGCAGGGGATCATAGACCGTAGTTTAAAATACAGGCTCTACACAAAAAAAAATATTAGTCATATTTCTTTTAATTTAAAAATTTATAAAAACTGATCTTTTAATGTACATTATACTATGGCAAATAAAGTTGAGTAGAGTAAAACACTTCTGTTTCGTCTATTCTTTCATTAAGAATACATTTTTAATATCTAAGCAGACAATAAGTTTTAATCATATTTCTAAGTCATAAAAAATAAGGCGTTTTTTAAATTTACAAATATAGATTTTTATGAAGTTTAACGCTATGAAATAACTTAAAATATATTCCTTTTATAGTGTGGCATATTAAGATGGAGAGGACATCTTTAGCATTTTACTTGATGGCAGGTTAAGACTGATAAGTGAATAAAAATAATTTGGCCTGCAACTGTGTAAGGTATTCCAGACAATATAAATACTTTTCTTCTTTAATTTCATGATCCTGAGGAGTTTTAGCTAAAGTATAGTTAGTCAAAAGGTTCCTACCTTGAGCAAGTTTTCACAGAGATCATTAAAATTCTTATTGAGGGCTTGATTAGTTAGATTAAGGCTGCTTAATCGGATTACTCTTACTGATGTGAACATCTAAATATGGGGAGATATAATGGCATGTCATTTCATTATTTTGAACTAAATACTGTAACAGAAAATAAACAATCATAACTACTGTGGTATTTTTTTAAAAGATAAGATTTTAACTGCAGTAAAGAGGCCGAAAAGAAAACATATATTAAGAAAAAACTTGCTAAAATCATATATGCTATATTTGCTTAAAATAAAGAATAAAAGGTTTACCTGTATTTCAGATGTCCAATTATTTATACCAGGCATAATTTCTGTATTACAGCTATAAAAGCCTGTCAAAATAAATTATAGGGAAAACATATGATAACATTTCATTTATTTTTGTATTAAAGAACAACATTTTTCGGGGCTTCCCTGATGACACAGTGGTTAAGAGTCTGCCTGCCAATGCAGGGCACACGGGTTCAAGCCCTGGTCTGGGAAGATCCTACATGCTGTGGAGCAACTAAGCCCGTGCACCACAACTACTGAGCCTGCACTCTAGAGCCCGTGAGCCACAACTACTGAGCCCATGTGCCACAATTACTGTAGCCCACGTGCCTAGAGCCCGAGCTCCACAACAAGAGAAGCCACTGCAATGAGAACCCCACGCACTGCAACGACGAGTAGCCCCCACTCGCTGCAACTAGAGAAAGCTGCGTGCAGCAACGAAGACCCAATGCAGCCAAATATGAATAATAAATAAATTAATTTAAAAAAAAAGAATAACATTTTTCAATTATTACATGAAGTTCTAACTAAGACCCATTCATTCTTTTTTTCTAAAACTCTATACCTCTGGGAAACTTTAGACCATGTTAATAAATTACCATGTTTTTTTGGTAATGCATAAACAAAAAGATTAAAAATCAGTTCACCTAAGTTCTAATGTAAATATTTTTAAACGATGTTTTCAATCTTGGAGCAGCAAAGAACGTGACAAAAAGTAACACTGATAAAGCTGTTAAAATAAAGTTAGTGTTATAATAATTATGAACTGAAATACTGATATGCAAAACTAGTCTCATCTCCAGGTAATTTTTCTCTGTTCACCTGAAGGAGGCGGAACATCAGTGAGTAGAGAATGTACGTCTTCCATAGCATCTGTGTCATCGATCTGAAAATGAAAGATTGAACCTATCACATAAGTGGTAAATATATAATTGTTTCAAAATTTTAAAAATCGCTTTTATTATTTATTAAATAGAAAACATAAGAGTCAAGGAAAAGTAGGGCCATTTTTCCCTAAGTTAAAATATAAAACTTGAAAAAATTTTTGTAGTATCTATAAATTTTTCCACAATAATTATAAATACTTTTAAATGAAATATTTTACATTATAAAGTATATTGAGTTTTTAAAAAATCGAGCCTTTTCTCAAGTCTTTATGAGGGCATGTTCCAAAAGATTTACAAAGATAACAAGCAATCATTATCTCTATTTGTTTAAATTAATAAAGTGCAATTTAAAAAAATCTTTTGACTAAATACAGAACTGCTTTAAAATAAAATTACATAGGGTTAAATTTAAAGGCATGTCTTAAAAGAATAAGTACAAATTCCATTTTTCCTACATCACAATATTCTGTTGTGAATTATAAGTAATGAACATATCCAACTGGACATATATTGACATTCATCTGTACATTGGGGATCTAAGTCCTGACTTACACCCAAGATGTCAAGAACCACTTTCAGTTCCACTTTGCTTTAGCCATTCACAGTCATGGCCGTAACTCGATTGTGGTATTCCCCAAAACATTCTACACTCAGATCTCCAGCATCAACTATAACCCCCATCTCTCTACACCTTGACCTCTTCTGCCCATACTCCAAGCACTTCTGTTCTCTACTTAGTCAGGATCCCTGGATCAGAAAATACGAAAAATGCTCTGGATCAAAGTGAAAGTAACCCTCATCTGGAGGGTTTGTTAAGCAGATTCCTGGGCCCCACTTTGAAATTTTCATTTACTAAGGTCTGAAGTAGGGGCCCCAGAGTTTGCATTTCTTACAAGCTCCCAGCTGTTGCTGATGCCACCATCACAGGGCACTTTGAGTACAACTAACTGCTCTAAATTTTACCCTGGAACTTTTTACTCCTTAACCTTTTACCAACCTCCATTTTTTTCCTCCATACTCAGACTGTAGAGATTATGAGAAAGAGGCACAAATTCATATGGTTTGAGTTTCCTACAAGGTAACAGACTCACCTCAGTTAAGCCTTGAGCATCTCCCACAGCTGACATCCTGATCACATTCAAGGGCACTATTCTAGACTCTTCAAACGTCCAATCCCATCCCAATACAATTCTACTGTCACCTTCCTGCTTTACTGAGATCCAGGCATATGATTTTTTCTCTCAACTGGCACCTTACCAGAAAACATTTCTAAGTATCCTCATTTATTTTCCTTTCCTTCAATATCAAAGGAAGATCGTCTATCCTTTCAAAGCTAACCATTCTACAGGGGAGTGCATGGGAAGAAGATCTGTGAGGGCACAGGCTCCATAAACCTTTCATGTCATTTATTCTCCAAGAAAGTTAGTTCATTCTGGATGCGTTTTTACAATGAAGGTTCAATTACACCCTCTGAATTCAGTAAAAAAAACACTACACTCAGAATTCACAGTGCTTATATTATTGTGTTTCATGTAAAAATGTTATAATTATAGTAACATGTTATGACATATAAAGCAGGTAATAATTATAGAAGTGAAAGAAAAGAACCTTCTTATTGAAATTAATCCAAGTTTACAAAAAAAGCTCCAAAAGTTTAATATTTTAATTATATTTCAACCCAAACACTAATTTTTCCAAAACTAATTTTCCAAAACGAAGTTTTCCAAAACTTTTTTTAACTTTTGTTAAACAAAAGATATGTTACCAAGTTTGTTGTAATTTCTATAATAAAATATTCTTTTGATATTTTTCACAGTTGTAATGATACAAAAATATCACACCAATTTAGGACCTGACTGTAAAAATATATATCTTATCTTCCAAAAACTTTAAGAAATTAGTCCAATGCAATAATACCTCCAAAACAAATGCATCTTTTTTCCCATGTGAAAGGTCCAATTCTGTAACTTCATCAGAGCTTTCTGATTGAGATCTCAAAAGTCTTGAGCGTTGTCTAGGTTCTGGAATGGGTGATCCTATAATCTCTTCACATATCTCCTATAAGAAATATAATTGCTTTACATCATATGACTGTCTTTTTCTGTTTTGGGTTTTTTTTGTAAACTGCAGTCTTTTTTTTTTTATTGAGGTACAACTGACATGTAACATATTAGTTTCAGGTGTTCAACATAATGATTTGATATTTGTATGCTTCAGTCTGGTTTTACATTTTTATATTAACAGAAAACTACCGGGGGGGAGGGGAGTACATAAAATGTATTCATAGTCCATATTTAATTATAACCTTTATGACTAACCTTTTATAGAGTACATAGCTATTTCCTTTCATTGATAATAGCAACCTTCATACACTAACCCAGAAACTGTCACAGACACAGCAAGGCAACACTGACATCTAGTGTAAAAAGAGGACACTACAATTAGTAGGGAATTGGCGGTCCTTCCAGCTCAGAAGGTATTTTCTACTCAGCATTTAAAAGTCCTAATAACCTATAAAGAATTAAAGATTTATGTACCCAAATAAGATTCTAATCTTTCATATCTTATGCAGTGGTAATTTTTCAAAGCCTCACATAGTAAAATGTGGAATATGATATATGTATCTATGTATGTGTATGTTTATATAATACACATATTATACATGTATTTGCTATGCAACTTATTTAGCCAAATAAACTTTGATAGTTACAATAATGATCTTTTTGAGGTCAGTGTAGGCTACAATCTTATATGGGTTAGTAAGCCTTCACCCATTTTTTAGCCAAAGATCACAGCTAATCAGAGGTTCTAAATATCTGCTGGCCACAGGAATATCAAGAGAATGTGGGTATGTAAGCACAAATGTAAAAGACACAGCCTGTTGCTGGTGTAACAGAACTATCTTTAAAAAAAAAAAAGGATTATTTTAAAAAAGGTTTTTCAAAAATGTTTTCAATATTCATTGCTAGGGCATACCTTGCATAGACTGCAACCACACAGTTTCATAACACAGCTACCTCTGCAGCACCTTCGCATCCATTTATCTTACTTACACTTCACATTAACCTGCCCTAGATAAATCTGACAGGGTACCTATTACAGTGACTACAAAATGAGAAAGAAAAGACTCTGTATTCTTGAACATTTTTACCACAGATAAGCAATCTTTCTTTTTACTAAAAAAGAACATTTTAGGCCATTTCTTTAGGCATCAACAAGTATTTATCAGGCGGCTACTACCAGGAGGAACTGGTCCAGCCATTAGGAATACAGTCCTGATGGAGCTCCATTCTATTGGGAGTATCAAGCAGTAGACAAAACTCAAAAACATATTTCACACACAAAGACACATAGAGGTAAGAGAAACAGAAAACAATAAAACACAGAAGGAGGATAGGAAGTACCAAAAATTGACAGGAGAGTTAATTTTTTAAATAGGGTGGTCAAAGTCAGCCTCCCTAAAAAATAAGACATTTGAGCATGGATGTAAAGGGAGGTGAAAGAATGAGCAATGAGGAGAGAAAATCTAGACAGTGGCAGAAAAATCTCTAAGAGAACCTAAAAATGTACTAAAATCTAAATAGCAACTTATATATTCACAGTGGAGATTTATTTCACTTACCGGAGGATTGATTTCGTATAATTCTTTATTCTTAGCAATCGTGTCATTTATCTTCTTCTGCATATGAGATATATGCTGCTCGTATGAGCCATCATTAGGAGTCTTCCCAGCAATCTGAATACCACCAGGCGTTGGTAAAGCTGCTAAATACACACCTGTGGCTGACTGGTAAAAATAATGGGGAAATAATCAGAAAAAAATATCTAAAGAATAATAGTCCTTAAGTTTTCATATTCAGGAATGTGGTCCTTGCCCTGAAGGAAAAAGATAATTAGCATCAGTGCTTGCATAGGACATATGTGGAAGGGCACAGAAAATCAGAACTGGTAACAGGGGTTGGTTACTTCAGCAAGAACTCTGGGTAGGTCGGGGACAGCAGTGAAAGGATGATTTACTTTTCACTACATACTCAACTGGACTTTAAAGTTTTTTGTTATGATTGTAAAAATCTGCACTGAAAAAAACAGGTTATAAAAATATGAAGGGCTTCCCTGGTGGCGCAGTGGTTGAGAGTCCGCCTGCCGATGCAGGGGATACGGGTTCGTGCCCCAGTCCGGGAAGATTCCACATGCCGCAGAGCGGCTGGGCCCGTGAGCCATGGCCGCTGAACCTGCACGTCCGAAGCCTGTGCTCCGCAACGGGAGAGGCCACAACAGTGAGAGGCCCGCGTACCGCAAAAAAAAAATATGATTGAAAGTTGCTGAAAAGTAAATTTTTCATGAATGAGTAGCTTACATTTAAAGTGGCAAAAGTAAAAGGGAAACATGCAAAGCAAGTAAAGAAACTGAGTTCAGAAAGGACAGGAAACTTAATCAAGATCACACTGTCAATAAATGTGGGGAAGAGACTTGAATCTGTTTCCGACTCCAAATACCAAGAACTTTTCACTATACCATCCTGCCTCCATAATCACCAAGAGAGAAAACTTGATACAGATTTATTTTAAATATTTAATTAAATAACTACTAAACTGTGACTTTGTAACAGTACTACATGCCATTAGTACTGAAAAACTATTAGGGGAAATACAAAACAAGATAAAACACACACCCACACCCACACCCACACCCACACCCACACCCACACCCACACACCTATGTACATTTATGTGTAAATATGCTTCTGTAAGGAAAGTAAAGCAAAAAAAAAATGTATAAAAGTACAAACATCAAATTGTTAACATCAAAGGAGTAGAATGGAGAAAAGAGAAGACAATTCTTTTAACTCTGGATATTTGCGTATTTTGAATTGTTAGAGGAGTTGTTGTTGTTATTGTTATTGTTATTACACAACTGCCAATTTTGTAAAAGTCTTTCCTAGAAAGGTTATAGTACTCTATGATGAAGTCTGTGCACCAGATGACACTGATCCCCAGAAGCTCTTTCTCCTGGGTTGTTCATGTGTCCATGACTGCACTCACCACCCAGTCTCTGATGCTCAAGCTCAGAACGCCTTCTGCGCCATAGTGCCCCATCTCTAACACTTGCTTAACTGCATTCACTAATGAGGCAACAGCCCAGAATGGCTGAGAACACAAACTCCGGAACTAGACAGGCCTGGGTTTGAAACTGAGTTCCGGTACATGAAACCATATCACTTTGGACAAGTCTCAACCTATCACAGCATCCGTTTCCTCGTCTTATAAAGTGAAGGTAATATTACGTTCTTTCTGGAGCAGCCCAGTGCCAGACACCCAGGAGGCACTCGTCGGAGATTAGCTATCATGGAGGCTACTTGAGATTTAGTAGCTCAGGAGGACCTTGAGATTTAACTGCACAGGCTAAAACAGCACAAAGATCAAAAGCTCAAACGGTTATAATGAGTGCCACTAGTGATCAAGAAGAAAAGGTTAGTAAGAATCAGAAAAGGCAGTATTTGAGGCAGGCATTGAAGAATTATACCAGGGTCACAAACTAGTTTCCTGGGGCTCAACCATCAAAAGTGTTTGCTACAATTGGCAGAATGTTCTTTAAACTTCTGAATCTAAACCAAGCTCTTAGTTCCCAAGACACCCACCAATAGCTACAGTTCTGTATTCAGCCTGACTACACATTTACGTTATGCCCTCGCTAAGCTTGTTAGTTTTTAGATGGGTGAATTATAACTAACACTCTTTTCCCCAAGTTAATCTAAATATCAAGTATTTTAATATGAATCAGATTACCTTTATTAATCACTGCAAATTCATCTTGTTAAAAAAGTGAGATTTCCTAATTAATCATCAACACACAATTATCCCCTACATACATAAATTTGCATATTTGCTTTTATAGAAAGAACAGATGAAGCAGGAAACAATTTAGCATTTTATCTACAAATGCATACTGAGAAAAAGAAACCAAATTCCATAAATTTCTTTCTTTCTTTCTTTATTTTGGCTGCACTGGGTCTTCCTTGCGGCATGCTGACTTCTTAGTTGTGGCATGTGGCATCTAGTTCCCCAACCAGGGATCAAACCTGGGCCCTGTGCATTGGGAGTGCGGAGTCTTACCCACTGAAGCACCACGGAAGTCCCCCATAAATTTCTTAAAATTAAATTTCTATGCATCTCTCAGAAAGATGACAGAGAATTCCAATTTGAAAAGTACTGGTGACATAGACAAAAATTCTGGCTGGCAAAGTGTGGAGAATATGAGAGAATTTCCATAAATATTTTGCAGGTATCTAGTTCTCTGGCTACTTAAAAAGGCAGTTCTCACTTTCCCCACTGATAACTTTCTAGTCGGAACTTATTTTCTAATAAGCCAAGGTGAACATGAAGGTGAGATAAAGAGCTTTTCACTGCCTCACAATTTATTAGCACTTCAGAAACACACGTATTTTATTGCACAATCCACTGCTGAGCACTGGTGCACATGTCTCTCATGTATTGATTTTCTCCATTAAAACGAAAGATTATTTTGGCACAGTGGTCCTCCCCGCTCAGGAGTGGTTTTGTCCCCCAAAGGACATCTGGTAACGTCTGGGGACAGTTTTGGTTGTCACACTGTGAGGAAGCTGTTAGCATCTAGTGGACAGAGGCCAGGGATGCTGCTAAACATCCTACGATGAACAAGACAGCTCCATATAACGGAGTTATCCAGCCCCAAATGTCAATAGTGCCAAGAAGGAGAAACCCTGTTTTAGCAATGTACAAACAATAATAAAGTTCAGAACAGTGGTGGCCAACTTACAAAACAAGCTATACCTGGCAATTCTTAGAAATCTGACCATAGGAATTATGATCAGAATACAAAAATATAATAATAGTATAAAATATAAATAAATTTATATAAGTTTATTAATTTAATTTCAAATAATAATCTTATAAATATAAAAACATTTGAAAGCCTATCACTAGGCTTTTTTTTACTTCTTATAATGTCCCTAAAGCCTTAAAAGTCTTAATGCCAGATCTTTAGATAAGTCTTTTTAGGAGACTCTTTGAATCACATAAAACAGAATCTACAACTATAGGAATCACAAAACAAAAACAAAACATCGAAACTCACCGCTAAGCCCATCAACATATTTTCACCCACTGAGATCTGAATTCTCAGTCCAAATAAAGCGTTCATTCCTTTGAGTTTTAGTTTATTCATTAGCTGAGTATGCACTTCATATTCCATAAATGGCAACAGATTACTGATAGCTGTGGCATTTGCTTCTGCTTGTGCCTTCTTTTTTAAGCGACACAACCTGTTAAGGAAAATAATTTAGTCAGTGGAGAGTGTTCTTGGTACAATCTTAAGAAATGTCCAATTTTTTTAAAGTTTCTAAAAGTGTGCTTGATAAAACATTTACTTGTTTCAAACGGACTTCTTAAGTTTTATCAATAATCTTTTCTGTCACTTTTTTCACTGTACATACTTTTGCTAAAAGTCCTATTTGAATAAAAAGGAAAAAAATCTCAAAATCTCTAGAAATGAAATAAATACTGATCAAAATCACTAGAGAATATAATTTTGCATCTTAGGTTTCATAACTCCCTGTGATCATATAATGGGTGGATAGCAAAGGAAAAAACTTAATTTACTCATTAAAAGAATACAAAGCCTACTTGAGTGTACACCATGTGCCAGGCACTGTTCTAGGTGGTGAGCACTGATCAATGAATAAAACACAAAGTCCCTGTTCGTGCTTATATTTCAGTGGGGGCAGAGGGGAGGGGAGTAGGAATAAACAAAGAAACAAGGCAACCACAGATAATGCTTAAGAATCCAGTCTGTGCAGAAAATAAACCAGGTGAAGAAAAGTGAGAGTAACTCGACATAAGGCCTCACAGCAGAGACGACACCTGAACTGGAATCTTAAAAGCACGATAGAGTTGAGAGTGCTGGAAAAAGACAATGACGGAATGGAGCTGGCATATTAGAAGAAACAAAAGGAGACCACTGTAGGTCAAGTGAAGTGAGCAAGGGTGAGGGCAGCACAGATGAGGGTGCAGTTAAGCATGGGCATGAGCATGTTAGGGGCTTTGGGTCATGGTGAGGCGTTTGATTTTATTCTGCCAGCAATGGGAACCCCCACATAGGTTTTACATAGTAACACAATCCAAAGTATATTTTAGGACATCTTTTATACTGCTACACAGAGAATGGAGTAAAGATAAGAGAACTGATGTGGGGATGGCAGACAAAAGGCTTAAATTTAGGTAAGAGACAATGAGAGCTTGGACTAAAACAGGTAGCTGTGAAGATGAAGGAAAGATCCCCAAATTGGCAAGCCAGGCTATTTAGGCCAATAGTTCTCAAACTCTGCCTTGCATCAGAACCACCTGGAGGGCTTGTTAAAAAACAATTACCATCCCCAGAGTTTCCGATTCAACAGGTCTGGCACGTGACCTGAGAATTTGCATTTCTATACGGTCCCCCAAAGATGGTGATGCTATTGGTCTAGGTACCACACTCTGAGAACTGCTGATGAAGAGTAATCCCCTCTTACCTAAAACAGAAAAAAAAAAAAAACTGAATAAACTATATCTTTAAAAATCTTCCTAAAAGCATCACAGGACCAGGGCAAGGAGCAATGCCGGGTACAAACTTAAGGAGGTAGCATAAGGAAATTCTTTTGCGGTGGTGGGACAGTTCTGTATCTTGACTGCGGTGGTGGTTTACACAAATCTATTTGTGGGATAAAACTGCATAGACCTATACATATATATACAAATACATAAATGAATGTAAGTTTAAAGAAGTGTAAAACTGAATAAGGTCTGTAGCATAGTTAACAGTATTATAACAATGTCAATTTCCTAGTTGATACTATACTACAGTTGCATGAGATGTCACCAATGGGGGAAGCTCATTGAAGGGTACACAGGACTCTGTACAATTTTTGCAACTTTCTGTGAGTCAAAGCAAGTAAAACACAATGAACAATAACCAGCAGAAACAACAGAAAAAAAAGATTTTAGATATTAAAATCATCAGTTACAGAATCAATCAAAGACTATAATATATATTTGAAAAAGAACAAAATGAAACTTCTGGGAATAAAAATAGATTATCAAAAATTTAAAAACACAATTATTAGGTGTAATAGCATATTAAAGACAGCTGAAGAGAAAATTAAAGAATTGAAAGATAAATAAGAAAACATCCAAAATATAACATAAAGAAACAAAAAGATTTAAAAACATAAGACAAGAAAATAACAGACATAGAGGAGGCAGTGAGAAAGTCTAACATACTTTTAATTGGAGTATCAAGAAGAGAGAACAGATGAAACACAGAACTAATCTAAAATTTTTTTTTAATTCATGAAAGACACCAATCTACAGATTCAAGAAGCCCAAGGTATAACAATTAGGATAAAGAGAACTCCATACCTAACACTTCATAGGGAAACTGCAGAAACCAAAGACAAATAAAATGGCTCACACACAGCCTGAGGGGAAAAAATAGACATAGTTCAAAGGAACAACATTTAGTCTAATAGGTTATTTCTCAACAGTCGCAATGAAAGCCAGAAGGCAGTGGAAGGGTATCTTCAGTGTGCTTAAAGAAAATAACTGCCAGCCCAAAATATCTTTTAAAGATAAAAGAGACTCATTTTCAGACATGTAAAACTAGTTCACCACCAGCAGATCCACCAAAAAAAATACTCAAGGAGATAACTCAAGCAAAAGAAAAACAATCCTAAATGGAAGGTCTAAGATGCAACAGGGAATGAAAGCAAAAGTAAATGGATTAGAAACATACTTTAGAAGAAGATGTAACATGCCTTTGTAATAACTTTGATATGGGGAGGTAGAATACCATATCTGGAAGAACTGGATATAGCAAGTATCACTTATGAAAACAGAAAAGACCAAAGAAAGAAATGGAGAAAATCAGCAGTTCAATTTGGAACAAGTATGAGATGCCTAAGAAAATGATGTGTAAAGCAGACAGGAAAGTATATGGGTCTGAAACTCAGAAGAAAGTTCTGGACTAGAGCTATAAATTTGGGAGTCCTAGACTTACAGACAGCATACAGACTTATAGGGGTTGACAAGTTCAACTAGGGAGAAAGCTTTGAAAGGGGGTCCAAACTCACAGCTCTCAAGGAACAAGAAATGAGGAGGAATCAACAAGGAGTCTGAAGACTATACATAAAGGTAGGAAAAAGGAGGAGGTGTGGCATTGTGAAGTCAAAAGTTTCAAGAAGGAGAAAATGATCAAGTGTGTGATTATTGCTGAGATGTTAAGTAAAATGAGGACAGAAATGCTCAATGGATTTGGTAGCCTGGCAGTTGTTGGTGACCTAGATAGCTGCAGCTGTTTCCTGTGTGCCAACCACAATTTAGCATTTCCTATTCCAGTACACTTTAAATGGAATTCTTAACAGCTAACTGAAGTTGTAAAGGAAACACCACATAGCACTGTTCTTAAAAAGATGAAAAAGTCAATTTCCACAATGTATTAGATATTTAATGTCATTAAAGCATACTGAGTCACACCCCCAGCCTGCAACAGGTTAATTAATAATCCTCATAATAATACACATTTGTACAGAATTTAAATGTTTAAAACTGCTTTTGCATATAAACTTATCTGAGTTTCATAAAGAGGATATTTTTCCTCCATATTTTCCATACAGTAAAATAAGAGGTTCAGATAGAATTGCCAAGCCTGCACAGGATCACACAGGTAGGAAGGAGCAGATATTTGAAAATATGTCTATTTGACTCCATACCCTATACTCATTCAAGGACCCCAAATACCGTCTTCACAAACATACCTTGCTTGAATAAGACAACCTTTTCCAATAACTGCTGCATCCATTGGGAGGTCTATAGTTGTAAAGAGAACATCGGGAACTTTTTGTTTCCTGCAGTTATAGCAATATGTGAGATGAGCTGGAAATGGCATATTCAGTTCATCATACGGTATATGGCAAAATCCACAGCCTGCAGGCAAATTTTCTTCTAGCCTATTAAGAATACATTAAGAAAAAAAAAGTTATTCTTGAAAATTCTATGCATTTTTTCAAAAACATACATTACATATCCAGTACTTGTATACAAACTACACCACAACTTCGACCATAGTTAAGTACCACTATGACTGATAAGAAATGACCAGGAAATCAGAACCATGCACTGTGCTATGAAAGAAGAGGCTTATACAAGTAGAGTCATTTTGCATCAATTCTTATGTTTGATGACTTATCACCTGACAAAAACCACTATTATTCCAATGGTTTTTCCTTTGGGATACAACATAAAAACAAATAAGCGTGACATTTTTCTACTGTGTGACAAAGATAACACAAATAAAATCACAAAATAATTCCTAAGAAAAAAAACTTTTTAACCAACCTAAAAATTTGAAAAAATTCTATGGTTAAAAACAAATCTATTTAAGAGGAAAAAATGTAAGTTAAAGCTAGGCATACTCTAAAGTTTCTAATTTATGATGTCTGTTTTAGCATTTCTGCGAAACCAAAACACCTGTGTTTCAGAAATGAATATCCATCATACATAAAGCACAAATGAACAACCCACAACCTCCCCATTCACTGTAAAATGTCTGTTGTATTGTGCTGTTTATGAAATCATTTTAGAATGATTAAGTATTTATTCAGTCATTAAATATGAGGAAATGAGGAGAACAGGAAGGGAAACAGAGGGAAGCTCCATGGAGAAATCCCAGCTTTCACACAGCCACATCTTCTATGGCTCTGGTAAGATGTGGGTTCTCAAATCCCTTTCATCTAAAGCAACCCTTTAAAAGTTGAAATTTGGCAAGTAGACACATTAAAAAGGGAAAAGAAAACTCATACAACACCTACCAAGAGTCAGACTTTCTGTATTCTTTGTATACATTATTTTACTGAATTTTCACAATAACCCTCTAAATCAAATTAAGTTTCTCCCAGATATTATTCTTTTATTGTTGAGATGGCATTCTCGCCTATTTGAAGTAACAGGGGAATCAGACAGATCTGGGCAGAGCCGTGTGACTCTGAGCAAGTCATTTAACCTCTCAGAGCCTCCTCTATAAAAGTGTAACAACAATATCTACCTAGAAAGGGTTTTTTTTGGGTTTTTTTGAAGATTAAGTAAGAAAACTATAGCTAAATACTCACACCCAACAGAGGGCAACAAAAACTAGTTCCACTTGGCCTGAAACAAAGCTGAGATATTAAGTAACTTGCTCAGTCACACTAAGTACTAAGTAGCAGACCTCAGATTCTTATGCCAGTTTATTTGAATCCAAAGCCCATGTGTTACAAGGGGACACAGAAAGATGAAAACTGGGGCAATTTTTAACTAAACACCTCACAGAAATTTGAACATAAGTGGTGTAACATCATAAGGCATAAAAAATAAAAGTGCTAAAATTTATGAAAGCATTTGAAATATGAAATGTACAAAAGGCATTATCTTTGAATACTCATACCCTAGGGAATTTTTTTCTTCCTTCTACTCTCCTACATTTTTCAAATTTTCTCTAGTAAGCACTAGTAATTTCATAGCAGAAAGAAAAAGACATTTTCCTCTTTTACAAGTAGGGATGGTATCTGTTGCATCAGTCTGCCATTCAAGAGAGCTCACTGTGTCCATCCAAGCCACAATACCGAAACAACCAAGCTGGATGGGAAAGGTTGTTTGTTTAATTAGGCTTCTATCTAGTGAAGAATGGAATCTATTGACACAGGTGAGAACTATATGACAGGACTGGGACAACGCACTGGCAAAGTCAGTTTTCTCAAAGGAATATTCCAATTGTTCAATATACTTCAAAATGTCCCACCTCCACTTTCCTATTTACCATGACTTTTAATGCTCAGAAATATATTATGGTCAAAACCCATTTTTAATACTGACAAAAGAAGAAACTGACCAAGGTCTTCTGTGTGCCTACCAGAGCTAGCATATCTTTCTTTGCTATACAGAGACTTGCAAATTTATTCTAAATTTGATCACATACAGAATTTTTTTTGCTTTTTTCCTTAATATACACTAATACATTAATACCGGGGGAAAATAAATATGCATAGTGTAGAGCAAGGGGTATTTAAAATTTATATTATTTGGGCAAACTCTGGTACCAAACTAATAGTTTTTTGTACATATATTTGATAACTTCATCGTTTTATGGAAAATACTTATGACATTTATGGAAGCTAACAGATTAAAGGGACCAATAATCAAATAAACCAAAAAGTAATCTCATTTTACCTAATGCTTTCATTTTTGCTTTCTCTTTCACATATATTAAAGTTATATTTCATGAAGCTTTTATAACATAATTGAAGCTTTTATACATAATTTTCGGATAACATAGTATTTTGATTGTTTTGTAAATTAAGAATTTTATGAAAATTGTTTCATGACCTTTTCCTGTTTTGGAGGTAAGAGAAAGGAAAAGGAAAGGAAGAGAAAACTCAAATAAAATAAATTATTTCTACACTGTAGCAAACAAAAAAATGTATACTTGAAATCCTTCGATTGGTAATCATATGTGTAATTTATCAAGATAATAGAAATAGTGATGTGTCATACAGTGCAGAACCCAACACTTCTTTGTTGCTATGGATTAAGTAAAAATCAGTAAAGTGCCTGGTCCTGATTTCAAAATTGCACACCTATAACCCACCCTCATAGAGAAGGACTAGCCCCGCTCTGAGAGGAAGAAAGTCAACCTCTCCCTTCTCTGCCCTTAAGGAAAATAAGCCAGGCTGTCATGACAACCTCTGTTCCAAACAGCCCTCCACGGTGCCATCCTGCAGAAATCTAGGGTTCAGTACAGCTGCTGTGCCGGATGCAGATAAAATACAGACCTCTTCACTACAAAAGAAAAAAACATAAACAAGTTAACATTTTCAGGGAATCTAACTTTGGAAAATGTTAACTATCAAAGTGATACAAGGGTGACAATTTAAATTTAAAGTTAGACTCTACTAAATATTAGTATCACAGGATTACCTCCTAAACCTAGAATAGAAAACAGAAATAATGTTGTTAAAATGGAAAGGATAAGAATTCTTTCTTATTTAAAAATTGTAAAAGATAAAGCATAATATTAATGACAACTGATTCCTTTATTTTGTTTTTTGTTTGTTTTTTATTTTTTTATTTTTCCATGGAAAGGCACTTTATTTCTAATATAGCAGTGTGACTCCTTTAAAACATGGTAAAGCTGATAAAGACTGGAATGTTTCAAAATATCCAGCAATAACCCATCAAACTGTATTAAAATACTCTTTAAATGTATACTGAATTGTATTAAAATTATTCTAAAGGCACAACTATGTAAATATCTATATTGTTATAGCTTAATTCAAACTTAATAATAAAAAGATATCTGAAACAAATAAAATACAAAATAAACTAAACAGAGCTTTTGGTACATCATTATATGTATGATAAAAACTGATTTTCAAAAGAATTCTTTGAAACTCTTGATTACATACCACCCAGCTTGAAAGCCAAAAAAATTAAACAATCAACATAATTATTGAATGAGATCACCCAAAGCTAGTGAGAAAAGTAGCAGTCTAGGGACGAAATGCTGGAAACAAAGAGTAAATGGACCAGAAGAAAGGATATAAAAGAAATGGTCTGTAAGAGGCCAGGCTTACAATGTTTAAGTGGGCACTGAGAACGTCAGAAAAAGTAACGGGGAGCCACAGAAGGCGCCAAATCAAGGAGCTACAAGAGCAGGTGTGCATTTCAAGGTATGCATCTCAGGGAACTGAATCCAATAATAGTAAGTAGGATGGGTTAGAACAGAAAAAACTAGTAAAGATAGGATTTAAAGACAAAGACATTTTGAGGTCTAGAGGGAAAAGAGAAATTTGTATCAGGTGAATGCAAACTTCTAAGTAAATTAATTGAACTCATTTCTATAGACTCCTGCAACTGCGATTTATCTCCAGCCACTGATCTACACCTCTGGCCTTCTCCACATGCTAGTCTTTTCGCCTTGAAAACCCTCCCTATGCCTTTTCTCTTCACGGATATAACTCATGCTCATCTCCCAAGATTCAGTTCAAGCTTCAGTTACTTCCTTAACACTTTCTTCCAATCCTACTTCTAACCTCCAGCCTTCTGAGATCCTAAAGCATCCTAGGATGTCTCTATCATAAAATATATTATACTTGTCATAATTCTCCAGGAGAATGTGAATCTGATGGCAAGAACTATGTCTTTTAAAACCATATCCCTAAGACCGGAGAGTGCATGACAGGAAATCCATGAATAAGCAAGACTACCTGGGGAGTAAGGCAGGATAAGCATAACAAAGTTAGTCGTTTAACAAAAGTAGAACAGCTACTATAGGAATACAGCAGTTCAAGGGTATAATACGTGGTCTGCAAAGGAAAAGAAAGGGTCCTCAGAAGATGAAATAGCATGGCTCTGTAACATCCTCATTTACTGCAGTCTAATCATTTTTTCTCCAACAAAAATGATTGCCACCACCACAAGAGAGTTATCCATGGAATAGCTGGCAGTGAGAATTATCCAACACAAGGTGGAAAAATAAGACAGCAGAAGGTCACACAGTTTCTAGATGATATCCAACACAAACTTCTGAACGAGTGGAAAGTAGGGTTCAAGGATGGCAGATAGCAAGTAAAGTCAGAACCTATGTAAGGAACTGGGAAAACTCTTGGTTAGGATAAGGGTCAAAACAAACTAGGTGTAAATGAGCAAATGGGATGGGTGGAAAAATATTAAGTTGTGATCCAAGAGGGCAATTTTATGGTTTCAATTTTTTTTTTGTTTTTTGTTTGTTTGTTTTTTGAAGATGTTGGGAGTAGTTTATTAATTAATTTATTTATTTTTGCTGTGTTGGGTCTTCATTTCTGTGCGAGGGCTTTCTCCAGTTGTGGCAAGGGGGGGCCACTCTTCATCGCGGTGCGCGGGCCTCTCACTGTCGCGGCCTTTCTTGTTGTGGAGCACAGGCTCCAGTCGCGCAGGCTCAGTAGTTGTGGCTCACGGGCCCAGTTGCTCCGCGGCATGTGGGGTCTTCCCAGACCAGGGCTCGAACCCATGTCCCCTGCATTGGCAGGCAGATTCTCAACCACTGCACCACCAGGGAAACCCTATGGTTTCAAATTTTTAAAGAGAAGCAGTTTCAAGCGACAATAAGGTCCAAAATAAGGCTGAAAGTCATGTGGGGATAGAGGATTTGAGAATGAGAAAGTACAATGCCAGGCTGTTAGAAGGGAGATAACCTTGTTTAACTGGAGGAGATTGGCCAAGCAGTAATGAACAAGGCAGAAGAAAGTTTTGGAGGTAGAAAATTCTAAACTGTGGAATGTCATGGATGTTAAGGAGGAGAGGCTATCCAAATGAAAGGTAGGAGAAAAGTGGATTGAGAACTAGGAGTATGGAAGTCCCCTCCTAACTGGGTAGAGTTAGAAAGGATGATTTGTTGGCAGGAGAAAGTTAAGTTACAGTTAGTAAAAAAAAAAGGCAGAAAGAGTTTACAATGAACTTTAAAGACACATGGCAAGTTCATTTACAATAGATCAAGGGTTCCAAAATCCCAGAGGAAGGAGTTAGTGGAGTCACAAACTGGAGTAAAGTAGGCCTAGAGTTAATACTTGCTATGTGCCAGTATTATATTCTCATTTAATCCCTCAATAACCTTAACTGATAGGCAGTTATTATCTCCACTTCAGTGTACAAACTGAGGCTCACAGGAGTAGAGTAACTTTCCCAAAGTTTCACATTAATTAAGTAGCAAATCTGGCATATGAACCTCGGTGTGATATACTCTAAAAAAGCCCATGCTCCTGGACCACTCCACTATTCTTCTTTTCCCTGTATCTGCATAAAGCTTTCCCCCTTTCAGATGACAATCTGTAACTTACAGCATCTAGAAAATCAAGTTGTTTTCATTTACCAGATGCTAGTTGATTCACTGTAGCCCACTACAGCATGACAGCCTAATGCTTTGGCATGTGATTTTATTTCTTGTCTGATTTCTGCCCACCACGCATCTCGAGTTTCTGGTTCATCTGAAAAATAAATTTTAAATCAGTTCACTACTCAATAGCACATTGTCTATTTGAACAAGAAATGGTTAAAATAAGCATACTCTGGAAGGCAAAGAAGTACTATTCTACAACAGTTTTTAAAACTTCACATCTTTAAAATGCTACTTCTCAAAAAGCTTATTAACATTTTAATTTAATGCTACTTCTCAAAAAGTTTAACATTTTAAACTCAATTGCTAGAAGATAAACCACCTAGTTCTATTTGCTTTATTACTTTAAGGGACATCTACCGGGATGTATTTTATTAGATACAACTTGAAAGGTAGACCCAGAGTTTCCAGATTCCAATCTTAACCTAAAAGGACATCCTATGTCTCACCTCCCTGAGTGGATACCTTATGAGTTATATCCATAAATTTAACTTAAATTCTGATTTCATTTCCCGGTACCTATTTTTTATAATGCGTTATATTCTGGGTTCTTTCCAAGGCAAAGATTTGTCAATGTGAAAAAGCAGAAAGCCATCTGTAGCCATTCTTCTAAAGAGATGTGGGTCCTGAAGCAAAGTGGCAAGAAATAAAGGGACTGGCCAATGCAAAATAAGGAAAGCAAATATATTTAAAAGATTAATACAAAGAATCTGGTTAATGTTCATAAGGACAAATTTCAGATAGAACACTGTAACTCCATAAGTGGCTCTGTCATTAAGAAAATGCTTTAGAATCACAGAATTGCATTTTATTACCATAAGGAGTCCAATATTGCTTGTAATGGAGCATTATAGATGGAGCATCTGTCACACATACTTCCTAATCACTTGCATTTAGCTGCAAACTACTGATGAACAGCAGCTGCATATATAGTAACTTTTTAAGTGCAAAGATGTTTAAAAAAGAAACGGTCTATAATCAGCATATCCTAATTTGTTTCTCTTTGTGGCACTTCCGTTTGGGAACAATTTGGAATAGAAAAAACAACTCTAAATAATATGCTAAGTTCTTACTGTAAATTTTCCATATAAAAGGCACTATTAAGACTGGAAATCAAACAATCCAAAAGCCTTCTTTTTGAATTTCAGTACTTATGCAGTTTTCAAATACGTTTTTCAAAATAAGTAGAATAAGTAGAATCATACTCACTAGTGAAATACTGAAGACAGCAAAGTAAAGAAAGGTTAAAAGGCTTGGTATAGCTCACATTCCTATGATCTCCCCCGCAGGGAGGAGATCAGCAAAGGGGAGAAATGAGGAGATAAAAGCCAGAACTACAAATGATGCCAGCCAGTTCTTGATTTAAAGTTTTGGATCCAATACAGAGCTACCTTAAAACTTTCTTTCAGAAGAAAAGAAAGAAAGGCAAACTACAGGAAACTTAGGAAAAGATCAGAGTACGAGATAAAATAAAGAAGGAAAAGAAACAGAAACTACTACAATATGGTGTTAGCAATCAATATTATGAATTAAGAAATGTGTGAGACAATTAGGCGGCCCTATTTTGCACATACACTACTATGTTAAAGAACTTCTTCATATTCCTAACTGACATGTAGACGTCAACAGCACAAATACACTTTCAAATCCATTCTTTTTAGGACATACATGTTTTCAGACCAATTTGGATATCTATTTAACATCATCCTTTCCTAATAGGGAAATTTTACATCATTAAGATGAACTATTATTCAAGTAGTTGCTCAATCTATCAAAGTACTTATGATTCTTTGAAAATAGATATCACAAATAAGAGAAATATATCTCAGTTTAGAAAATAATTATTTTCCTGAAAAACTATGTAAAACAAAAAGTCTAACTTTTCTAAAATTTAATAGTAGAACATGCTATTTACTTTTTACATCATCCCAGTAGTTTACAATACTACTTGCTAAACCAAATAATCGTACACTACATTTTTAGATTTCTCACATTAGGTTTGCCTACATCTTGCTGCAAGTAATACATGGTAGCTTTTCTGTTTTAAAAATGAATTTTACAGGAAGTAATCCACAATATTGTTGTTTAAATTAATGAAAAATGGAGGAAGTTACTTATTTTAAGTTCAAGATCTATTTATTTAGAAAGGCCAGCATGCCTAAATGGAAAAATATGTAATAATAATTACTATGAGATACATGTAACCACAGAGAATACAAAGTTTTTTTACATCAGACTTACCTTGGTATAATACATAAAATAATCAGATAATTAAACCAAACACTATGAAAGAATAAGTGGCTGATTAAAAAAAAAAACAAAACAAGAAAAAATGCTGAATGCAGCGCAAGTAGAGCATTCATTCTCTTCTGACAAGTTCACAAGCAGCCTTTATTTTTGACACATGAGCCACACAATTACACATGGGGATGCCACTGTTGTACTTAATAAAGTATTTACAAGCTTAATAAAAGCTAAAGAGTTACATAACAGGGGGGCTAAGGAAGCAAATGGCATATGTCCACACTCCAAAGAATTTCTTAAATTTGGTTTTTGGCTAAAGCAAAAGCTCAAAGAACGAAGGGTTTTGCAAAGCAGATTCAGCAGACAAGAGCCAGAAACAGTGGATGTTTTGGCGCATGCTTGGATCAGGTGACAGTACAGACTGAAAACTATGGCAGCTCACTGAAATGGTTACAGAAAGTAATGGCCCTAGATTCTAGGTGAAAGCAAGGCAAGCATACAGTAGGGAGCACTTAATCACAAACTAGTAATTGGATTAACAATAATTACCTACAACTGTAAGCAAGAAGTCAAAGGAACTTTTTGGCTATTAAATTTAGGGGTTAATTAAGATAAAATTAGGATAAATCAATTTATTTAATATTACAGAAAAGTTAAATTTATCTTCAAAGCCTATTTTATACTTAATGCCAGAGATAAGCCAGAGAAAATTCAAGTAGTAATCATAACTCAGCCTAACTTATTACCACTGAAAATTCAGAAATATCATAGTTGCCTAACTTATTACCACTGAAAATTCAGAAATATCATAGTATTTAATCCCTATTAATGGAATTTTTAAAGCTTAGAAACAGCTAATTACATTTCTTACAGGAAACACACTAGTGAATTTGAAGTGTTTTACTCACCCTACAAAAGTAAAAACTAAGGAGTTACCATACTAATATAAAAGGCAAAACAAAGAGTCCGGCTTAAAAATTTGCTGGCAACTATACATGCCATATATGAAACTGTATACAATCTGGTCACTTGAAGGATATACAGCTGAGATGCGAGGGTTGCAAATAAACATTTCAGAGATGTCAAGAAAAAAATATTTTCACTTTAAATACCATGCTCCTCCTAATAATCTATAGAATTACTTATAATTATAAAAAGATTATCATTTTAGGAGATATTAAAAGTTATATATTTATACAAACTATATTTCATACTATTTTATGTTTTTCTTCTAAGGGTCAAAACTCTTCATTGCTAATACACAAATCTTTTACTATATCCTTTTAATCGTAGGCATGAACTGAGCTCTAGACCTCACTGATGCCTTTTTTAGGGGTAATGTCTTCATGCCTGGGTTGACACCACAGTCAATTCACTTTACTACTGTTACTTGTCTAGAGCATGGCCATAGCTTGATATCTTGCCATCGTTTTAGCATTTTATCTTGTTTTTGAAGTACAGGTGACACTGGTAAAGATTCCTAAAATGACAGTAATAGTTTACACCTCAAAAAGTAAAGAAATGAACAACTCAACATAACATGCTTTTATAAAACTGAATCCCTTTGAGATTTTAGGCAATTACACACTTGCAACTAAGAAACGCTGACTACCTAAAGTGTTCAATTTAGTTCTATTTTTATATAGCTCTAGAAGAGAATAACTCTGTCCTTGGGAATCTTTTAATCTAGTTGAAAGAAAAATAGGAAATGGATAGTTATTCAATCTAATTTTTAAATAAGCAAGAAAGATGAAGTGTTAGGTAGGATTTTCAGTACAATGATAGTGTATCTTGTTAACGGACAGCACAAAAAGCTACATTCTCAAATACCTGAAATTAATATTCCAACCCAAAACAACCTTTTGAAGAAGACATATTTCCCCTAATGAAATAGAAATTAGAGAGTTCAGGTTCAAGGGAGTATACAGCCTTAAACTGGATGGTGATTCAGTAAAGACTAAAAAGAAGAGTCTCATTATAGAAGAAGTGATGTGCAAGTCAGAGAAAACTTCAAGACATAGTAATTTAGAATGTTAGGATGGTGGCTGGGATACAATCCATGTTGGATCAAACTGGAGTCTTTACTATTTGTAAAAAAAAAAAAAAAAGTCAAATATGTAATCTACTCCTTGATTGTGAAATTTCACTCTTTATACATAATGTAACTGGCAGCCAGTTACATTATTTTATACAGAGAGAGAATGATATATTACATTTACATGTTACATTAAAATAATGTAACAGAATATCCAGTTACACTTTACATATACATATATATGAAAAGAGTGAAATTTCACACTTAAGGAGATTACCCATCTGACTTTTTTTTTTAACAGTAAAGAATGAAAAGTAATGAATATCGTTACATTATGTATAGAGGGAAAATTATGTATTACAGTTATATGTCACATTATAAAGAAAAGCTCACATGTCACGCATGCTATATTTATGCCTTCTTGAACTCTATATATCTATTTCCTGAAAACCTTATTAAAATACTGAAAACCAAAAGCTGCTTAACTACTTTAGGCTTAGTTTGCACAGCTGCTCATGAGTGTCTCTCAGACATAGAAAAATAATAATTGCTGAGATTATCAGCAGAATTCAAGTTCCAAGAAAGCCTATCTCCATTTAACTAACACATACACACACACACACACACACTCACAGAGCAAAATAGTATAACAAAAAGCCTCGACCAGGTATGTAAAAAGGATGAGGATTTACACTGGATGAACACTGGTGTTCCCAATCCCCAGCATTGTGCTCAAGACATGGTGGGCACTCCACAAACAACCACTGAAGAAATATTTGCATGATCAGACTGCTATGTATATTCTATAAATA